GACTATGACCAAAAGCATCGAAAACCATTTCACGATATTCATTGGACCCCCGTTCAGGAACTATCGGAAACCCTTCCCCGTGACACATTCACTCATAATAATTAGGTGTAAAACCCGTGCGAAACAGATGAAGTTTAACCGTTTCTGGATCCCAAAGCCGTTTGTTCTTACATTTAGCACATGGATACCTAACTTCATGTGGGTTACTACTCTCGGGATTATCTTTGATGTATTGAATGAATTCTGGATTAATACTTTGCCCAACCTTCCTTTCATACATCCAGCTACGTTATGTTTGTTTCATGATTACAACTTCTACACAACTCACGCATATGTATAATCACATTAGTCACAAGCGTATTTCCTAGTCATTATCCATCAAAGTGTTATGGAAATGCAAATGAGATTTGAAATGCTTCCAAAGGGTCCTTATCACTCCAACCTAACCCATCCTTTTACATTTAATCCCACTAGAGAATGTAAGCCAAGTTTTCAATTCTATGGAAAATCCGCCAACATTTCCCTACAGTTCTCCAAGTACACGATGTAGGCGATTAAACACACCTACATATGTACCCAGAGAACATTGTAGAGAAATGAGAAGGCACGATTTTCCCTAGAATCAATAACAAGGCATACATTCACCACCTAAGTGAGAATAAGCGTACAAGGATAGTCCCAACCGGGGACTATTCAAGACATACTCCTAATGTGTATGCCTTGAACGGGTATCTAGGCAAATGATTATGCAAATGATTCATTTACAAAAAATAAAAAATAAAGGACACATGCATTATACTAAACAAATATATATTATAATTAAACTAAACTAAACAAATAAATGGGCAAAAAATTATTCAATTATTATATTAAACATTATATCTTACAAAAATATTAAACTAAATAAACTAACATACACTATATAAAACTAAACTAAACTAAACTAACATACATTATTATATTAAACTAAACTAAACCAAACTAAACTAACATATTATAATACAACAATTAACAACTAAACTTAAGTAAACTAAACTAACAAATCATAATACAACACATTAATTTCAAATATTTCAACATATTAAAATGTAAATACAACAAATTGTATACACTACACTAAAAACAATAATGAACTAACATATATCTAAATACAATTAGTCACTAAACTAAGAATATAAACTAAACTAAGAATTTTAGGGTTTATATAGTCTCTAACCTGTAGATCTGCACTTTATTTGACAATCAAACCAAGTAACTCTACAAATCCTACAAATAATTAAAATTAAAACTTAATTAGGGTTTATGCTGTCAATTTTTATTGAAAAAAAGGGCGCGAGTCTTACAAATGTAGAACGGCGGCGTAGTTGAGGAGGAGGAGCTGCGGTGGTCGCCGGCGTCTTCGTCTTCCTCCTTCTCTTTCTCTTTCTCCCTTTCTCTCTCTTCCTCTTTCTCTTTTTCCTTTTGTTTCTCGCTTCCTCTTTCTCCCTTTCGCTCTCTTTCTCTTCCTCTTCCTCTTTCTCTTTCTCCCTTTCTCCCTCCTCCTATTTCTTCTCTCTTCCTCTTCTTCTTTCTCTTTCTCCCTTTCTCTCTCTTCCTCGTTCTTCTGGTTTTTGGTTTCTTTTCCGGAAAAATTCAGAACGTTTGTTCTGTTTTTTTTAATTGTTCCGACGGAATTTATTCCCTCGGAATATCCACCTTCCGACGGAATATTCCGTCGGAATATAAATTTCCGACGGAATATTCCGTCGAAAGACGAATATTCCGAGGGAATTTTCCGTCGTAACGCAAGTTTTTCGACGAAATTTTCCAACAGAGCTAAATTTCGTCGAAAAATTCGAAATTTCCGACGGAAATAAAGTCCGTCAGAATCCAACCTATTTCTAGTAGTGTGACACGTATTTCTTTTTAGGAAGTTTATTTTTAGTTGACACGTTTCCTTTTTGAGTAAGTTTTTTACACCTTTTTTTTTTAGTGTACCCCAATTGCTTTATCATTATCTCTCCTCTCCTTAATATGTCTGCCTAAATTGAACGCGTCAACTAAATAGAAACAGAGAAAGTATTAAAGGGCATTGCCAACAATGATTAAAAAAAATAATAAAAAATAAAAAATAACAATTCACTTCCTTATTCTCTCTCTACTCACTTTCTCACTCCTTTTGCTCATTACATTTTGATGGTCATATTTTATCCCACCAATAAATTTTGTTTAACTTCACCATGACATCATTCTCTCTCTCCCACATCATTCTCTTTTACTTTTACTAATACAAAACAAATTTTGCATAAATACTTTTACTAATATAATTCAATTTATCATATGGTCAAGGTTGATTGAGAGATCTAACTATACAAATTAATTGGCTTTAGTCTATAACAAAAAATTGTTATGGTTAAATGTTTAATTATAGAATACAATCATGTGAATCAAATGGAAGGATATACAAAAACTTTTTGCAATAAATTATAAAAATTTAAAGGTGCATATGTAATATATACAAAAACGACTAAATTACCTCTTGGTACACGAAAGGGTTGGTCACTCACTCACCCTAGCCTACATAATCAAGCATTCAAACGTTACAATTACAATTTTTTAAAAAGGCAAACAAATTAACACAAACAAACTTAAATGCTAATTTTATTCAGCAATTAAACCAAGTCTTTTGGCCTTCCTTAATACTCATCAAGCTTATTAAAAATGTAAAAGCAAAAATATAAGCTAAGGGTAAATATGTAATTGAACTTTTTGAGGGATATATTAGTCTCAACACTATTCATAAGAGTTGAGTAAAACTTTTGAAAGGGTAGGGATTATAAAAACATAAATCAAGACAAATCTAACCAAATCCTACTTTTGCTATAAAGTAAAATTTGTGCTTTAACTCCAATGTTTTGTGCTTCTATTTTGCGTAAATCTTATATATAATTTAAGAGTCATTTTACAACACTTCACCACAACACTTTAAAACTCCAACTCTCAATTCTCATACACTGTTTTTTTTTTTCTACACTATCCTCGAAACATTTTTTCCCCTAACTTTTCAGCACAACACTTGAAAAATAAACTTAATCTTTAAGGTGTGTGCACTTCATTTTTTTTTTTTCATAAGTTCCCAATAATTCTTTTAAAAAAATAAACACAAACTCTTATATGTGACTGGCCACACTATGTGGCCAACCATCATAAGGGTTACATCGTGAGTGTTACAAGGGTTACTTGGTCAGTGCTAAAGGGGTTACTTCGTTAGTGTTATAGTGTTACTCGATCAGTGTTACAGGGTGGGGTTACTCGATCAGTATTACAGATGTTACTTAATCAGTATTATGGGGGTTACTTTGTTCTTTAATAAGTGGGCACGCGGTATAGCCAGACACACACAAGTCTGGCTGAAAATTAAAAAAATTTGAAGTTTTATTTTTTTTAATAAAAAAAACATTAAAATTAGATAGATTTTTTTTGTAAGAGTTTAAGACATCTATAACGCTGAACGGGTAACCCCTATAATGATTAGTCACTATATCAAAACACCTTCATGGAGTTTTTTATATCTTAATCCTGTAGTTGAAATATAATTTTGTAATTACAGTTTTTTTATATGCTTCCGTAAAATATATATCTTGTGCATTTTGCATGCACGGGTACACTCTAATCTATTATATAAAATAAGAGTCAATTTTGCAACACTTCACCACAATCTTTTAGATTAACTCAAATTATATGCTTTTCACTTTTCTTTTTTTTTTTTTTTTTTTTTTTTTTTTTAATACCAATAACCCCATCCCACATATTTCTCCAATAATTACGAATTTTTCAGTTTGTGTTGTTTTCTTTTACGTAAAATATATCCCCTGTATTATTACTCTAACTTTTAACCACACCACACCACTCCAAACCCTTAATCCTCAACTTCTGTTAACTTCATTTTTTATATATTTTTATTATTATTATTAAATTAATAATACCATAGTAATTAAAAAAAAAAACATTGATATATACGATTAATATATGTCGTGCTTCGACACGGATACGCTCTAATGATTTAATTACAAAGAATACCAAAACTTTTCCAATTACATATAATCTGTCAATCGGGTGTATGTTTTAACTTTGCCACTTGAAAAAATAATTTTGTGAATTCTTAAGGAAAAATACATTTTAATAATTCCAATTATGAGAGATTTACCTTTAATAATCCTAACTAATTAAGGTTTATCATCTAATAATCCCAACTATGTTGTCAGTTTGCCTCTAATGGTCCCAATGATGGGTAACCTGCAGAAAGAGCTTTTTTTTGGGGTTATAATAGCCACGTGTCCACACGTGACTGATTTAATTTTTTTTAAAAAACATATATTAAAATAAAATAAAACCCAAATTCCCCGTTACCCCTTCCCCACCTTCAAAGCCTAACCCCACCCCTAACCTCATCAGAAACCGGCCAACCACTCCCCCCCTTTACACCGCCTTTGACCCACCCTCGACCCCCAAAATCACCCACCCAGCTAACCCCGACCCCCAAAAACCACCGAGTTAGTTGAGATTATTAGATAATAAATATTAGTTGAGACTATTAGAAGTAAATTGCCCATAATTAGAAATTATTAAAGTGTATTTTCTTAAAAAATTTTAAAGAAAAAACTGACTAGAATAATCTTAATTTTGCCTCATTTGCCCAAAATAATCTAAATTTTCAATTATTTTTTAATAATCCGAACTTTAATATGAATTTACTGCCAATGGTCTCAATCGATCATCCAACTTGTTATAACAAGTTATCTGACACGTGTCAGGATGTGATTGATCAATAAAAAAAATTCATTTAATAAACTAAAAATTCACCCAAAATTCAAGTTGGATGACTGGGACCATTAAAAAGAAATTCATATTAAAATTCGAATTATTAAAAATTAGTCGAAAGTTGAGATTATTCTAATCAATTTTTCCATTTTTATAACCCTTGTAACATTAGTTTAGTTTATATCAGAAATGAGCGGACATCCATTTTAAAAAGACAGTTATTGAACGGCAGCCGCTATGCATTACACACAGAAAATACAAAACAACCAACGTTTTCTCTTCATTATGCTCTTCAATCTGTCCTCCATTGAAGCAGCTTGTGAGCTTTCTATCCTCCATTGAAGCAGCTTCTGAGGTAATATGGTTTTCTTTTGTCATTTAATCACAGAATATCAATTCACAATTTACTATTAATCGTTAATTTAATTCAATTTAATTGAAGTATTGGGTTGTAATTTAATTGTTCAAAGGTTTGAATTTTGGAATTCATATTGCTTTAGCAAGAAGAGTTTGATTCAAATTTGATTGCTAATGTGTTGCAGAACCCTTCAATTAATGTCAGGAAGGAACTATGAAAATGACTTTTTTATCCCTGGGCCGAGGGCGGCTGCCCCTCCTGCCTTGGCTCAGGGTCAAGAACTCTGTTTTTGTTCGTCAGAAATCTGCATATGCTGCTGCCCTTTTGAGTTCTTGGTTCACTGATTCTAGCTCTGATGAACAAACTGTTTCGAATTCTAATAGGAGTAGTCATTGTAGTAATAGTAATAGTAGTAGTAGTAGTGATGTAGAGGATCAAGTGCATGAATTAGACACCAATAGGGTTATTGAAATCTTGAAGGGTTTCGGAAGTGACCCGAAACAGGCCTTTTTGTTCTTTTTTGAGTTGAAGGAACGAGGGTTTCGACACAATGTTGAAACTTATGTCTCGATTATTAGGATATTGTGCAATCGGGGTTCCTCTAGAATGTTGGAAGGTTTGTTGTTGGAGGTTATTAGGTCAAAGAAGGAAGAATTGGGTTTTGGCATTACTGAGTTGATGGAGGTTGTTTTTGGGTTACTTGAGGTTGAGGTTGAAATTAGTGGTTCACTGGTTAAGGTGATTGATGCTTTGGTGAAGGCTTATGCTAGTTTGGGTATGTTTGAAGAGTCGGTTGATGTTTTGTTTCAAACACGAAGACGGGGTTTGGTGCCTTGTATATACTCTTGTAATTATTTAATAAATTGCTTGATTGAAAAGGGTAAGTTGGACATGGCTGAGGCTATATACCAACAATTTAAGAGGATGGGTTTGAACCCCAATGTATATACTTACAATCTTATGCTTAAGGTTTTTTGTAAAAAGGGTGATACTAAGAAAGCAGATGATGTACTTACGGAGATGGAGAAAGCTGGCGTAAAAGCAAATGAATATACTAATGGCACTATAATTGAAGGACTTTGTTCACTTCAAAAAACAGATTTAGCATATGAAATTCTTAAGCAATTAAGAGAAAATAATGATCCTGTTGACAATTTTAGTTATGACATGGTGGTTCATGGCTTCTGCAACGAGAATAAATTGAGTGAAGCTGAGGCTGTTTTGCTTGACATTGAGAACCAAGGGCTGACTCCTGGTGAGTATAGCTTTGGTGCTTTGATTCATGCATATTGTAAGAGAGGAAATATTCAAAAAGCATTTTGTCTAGAAAGTGACATGCTGTCAAAAGGTGTGAAAACAAACTGTTTCATTGTGAGTTCCATTCTTCAATGCATTTTTTCTAGGGGAACTTTTACCGATGTTCTCAGTCAATTTAAAACATACAGGGACATGGGGGTTTTTCTTGATGAAGTTTGTTATAACATTATGATCAATGCTATGTGTAAGTTGGGTAGAGGAGAAGCAGCTCTGGAGCTGCTTGAAGAGATGAAGCACAAAAACTTGGTCCCGGATCTGATTCACTACTCTACTGTGATTAATGGGTATTGTCTTGAGGGAAAGCTTCTTGATGCTTTGAACGTGTACAAGGAAATGAAACATAAGGGTATTCAGCCTGATCTCATTACTTACAATATACTTGCAGGTGGTTTTGCTAGAAAGGGGCTTGCAAAAGAGACTTTGTCATTTCTTGACTACATGAAAACACAAGGTTTGACACCTGATGTTGCTACACATAATAAAATCATTGAAGGCTTCTGTTTAGCCGGAAATGTAAGAGAAGCTGAAAATTATTTCAAAAGTTTGGAGGAAAAGCACCCAGATAATTACTCTGCTATGATTAACGGGTACTGTGAAGCTAGACATACACTGGTGGCTTTGAATCTTTTTGTCAACCTTTACAAGCACGGAATGTTTCTGAAGCAGACCTGCTGGAAGTTGCTTAGTTGCCTTTGCATAGAAGGTCAAGTTGAGAGTGCATTTGATTTGTTTGAAACATTGCTAGTCTCTGAAGATTATAATTGCATCAAAATGTACTCAAAGCTTATGTCAGCATTGTGCAATTCTGGAGATATAAAAAAGGCTAGGTGGTTGTTTGACAATTGGATAAATAAAGGGTTGAAACCTGATGCCATTATGTACACAATAATGATAAATGGGTTTTGCAAGTCTAATCTTATGTCGGAGGCCTGGGAGCTTTTACGTGCTATGAAGGGCAACGGTATTCTGCCTGATGTTGTAACTTTCACAGTTTTGCTCGATGGTTGTTTAAAGTCAATCTCGATGTATTCTCGTTCACGCCCAAACATTTATCTATGTGAGAAAGCCACAGAATTTGAATCTGAAATGTCCGAATTGCAGCTGAAACCTGATGTTGCTTGTTATACTGTGTTGATTGACAAACGCTGCAAGATGAATGATATCAAGGATGCCATTAAGCTATTCAAAGAAATGATGGATAATGGTTTGCAGCCTGATAATGTGACATACACAGCTCTCCTATCTGGCTGCTATAGAGTACATGATGTGGACACAGCTGAGACGCTTTTTGATGCAATGACTGCTCAGGGTTTACAGCCTGATCAAATAACCAGATCACTGAAGTCAAAATTAGAACATGGTATATTGAAAGCTAAGAAATTGCAGTTCACACATTGAGCAAGCTGATAAATGGTTTCAGTTCCAAAAATCAAAGTCAATGGGTTAGCTCTGTGACCATTGCTTAGAGGTTAGTCAAATTCATGTGAGCCACTGTTTATTTCTAATTGTTTATATGATTGTGATTGACCAATCTGATTACTATAGAAGGTCAAAATGTTCATTGATTCTTTAATCTATTATGCTTTGTATTTGAAATGTCTATATAAATATTTAGCTTTAGCTGTCAGCCAAATATGGACACTAATCATAAGAGATAAATACTCCCTCTATTTCCCAAAGTTTGACTCACTTTCCGTTTTGGGGTGATTCTGAAAGTCCAGCTTACTTTCACCTTGTGTAATTATTGGCCATCCCATATTAACATCTTACCCCTTACGGCCTTACCCTTTAATATTTACACCTTTCCACTTGCTCTCTCTTATTAACATCTTACACCTTATCCCTTAATATTTACACCTCTCCACTTGCTCACTTACCATTTTTTTCTTTTTAAATTTATGCCGATTTCTTATTCACTATTATTTGCAGGTGATTCACAAGTTGTTATCCGGAAATATAAAGCAAGATACTTTGTAATATTAAAAAGTAAGTGTACGAAAATTTACACTTTTTCTTTGTGGCGTGTGATGCGACTTTGGTACAATGTGAGTTCTAGAAATTACATTGGGAGCTTTGACAGGTTTGGGGCCTAAACTCTACTGATGTAGGGACAACGTAAACATTCTTCTATCTGTTATAATTATGATAATATTTTTACTTGAAATTACTTAAAAGCTGTTCTGATTCATATTTTAATTTTCCTTTCAGTTAGCTGGTACAAGAGCAGAGACTTTTGAGGGAAAAGTAGGAACTAATGATGCTATCTTGCTTTGTTTATCTTGAAGTGAGTTATGAGCAACATTCAACAAAAAAATTTCTTACTGTGAGTTTTACTTTTAAAAATGCAAATGTTAAAGGAAGAGCTAGTCTTTAGTTATATTTGCATTTGACATTGAATAAAAACATGGGTAACCAACAACTTTACTCTGCACAAATATATAAACTATAGCAATGTATGAAAAAGCTAAGGCACACCAAGGCAATTTAAAATTTTCTGTGCTTAGGTGTGCCTCAATAAAATGAAGCGCTCTTAATACACAGTAAAAAAAAATTAGTGAAAAAATGCTGTTCGCCTGAAAGGGTGCTCCTAGATGAGCGCTTCATCAAAATCTCTTTGTGCATGAGTGCATGACCCCTATAACCTTACGCCTAAGTATGCCTCAGACAAGCTTCTTCACACTAGGAACTATAGGCTAAATCTCTGAGTGATTTAAGTCGAAAATTTGCTAGGATTGCTTGTTAGACATGTATCAATGATTGACTACTTGAACTTAATTTTCTCAAACTGGGTCAATAATATAAGAGGAGGTTCTTTTGATGTTGCCATCTGCTAAAAGAGTTTCTTTGATGAGTATCTGGAACATGGCTGTTCTGCTGTTTACCTACTTTCTTAGGTGAGGAATTGCTTCATTTATACTCCCTCCATTTCAAAAAAATGTCACACATTACATTTTTTTTTTTTTTTTTCAAAACCAATGAAATGATTCGAAGTTAAGAGAGGGAAATGGAATAAATGGATTGAAAGAAATCATTAGTTAAAAAAATAAGTGGTGGACCCAATAGAGTAAGGATATTTATAAAAAGGGTAAGCGAGTGAATAAGAAAAAAAAAAAAATAGTAGGCCACATGTCTCAAAATGGAAAATGGTACAGGGTAATCATTTTTTAAAAACCTCCCTGAATTGAATGGTTTTTTAACTTCCTGTTTAGGTAGAAGAAAGGTTCTGGGTTGTATAGATGCTGAGACATATACTTGAATCTAGTCCTAATGAGGTCTGGCCTAGTGGTTAAGACTGAAGGGCGCTGTGTACATAAGATTGCTAGTTCAAATTCCACACCGCCATTTGTAGTTTGTATTGCCCTTGTGGCTTATCTGGACCAAAAAATTCATATATACTTGAATGTAGAGTTGAGCTTACCGGGATTGTTTTTGATCTTTACATCAAAGGGTTTTATCTGTTTCTTTTTCTTTGTCAGTGTCAATCTAGGTTCGAGTTGCCCAGTGCTATGCCTGTTTAATCCAAAATCTTCTTGTGGTCATGCAGGTCCATACAAGCTTGTTTCTGTCTGAACTTTGGTCTGCAGTTGCTCACTGCTTTTGACCGATTTCTTTCGATTTTGAGAATTGAATATAAGAAGGTTATATGCATGAAAGTCAATCGCCAATGTGGTAGGGTTAGAGCTTTTTGGTTAGAATTCTGCTTTTTTCTTGTTTGTTTTAGAGTTTCTAATTGCTAATATTGGAATGATATCAGGCATTGGACTTTTTGATGTGTGCTGAGCTTGGAAAAAGCTTACAATAGGGGTTATCTGCTCTAAAAGTTCTTATGGTTTAACATTATTCAATGGGTAAGTAAAATACCTGCAAATTTCATCATCTTTCAAAACAAATCTTCTGTGGCTGAATGATTTTAGGGCCAATTTGATAATTAGCATGTTTCTGGGATATAATTATGATATTGTGGATTGTCACTTGGTGTGGTTGCGGCAATGTATTATGCCATTAGAAGTGTGTCTGTCTTTATATAATTTCCAGTACTGAGCAGTATTATAAATTTAGAGATGTTCTTTCTTCCACTTTTACTCAAACTCAGGTACTCATGTCAATCTAACTCAGTTGCGTGTACAGGTGTTCAATAGCTATATTCTGATAAAATTTTATTGCACCCCAAAATGAATTGTCAAGTATTCATACCCTTGTCAGATTGTTAGAGGATTGGACTATGGCTATGGGTATTTGAGGTGAAGCGAAGAACTTGACTAACGTAGCACTTTCTTCTTATGGCTGTGTCCACCCTTTGATGTGATGTTGGTGCTTGAGTTGTGTCCTGTGACCACATTCTTGGTTGGGTAGCACCTTGCTCTTTATCGTTGCCTTCACCCATTCAGGTTTTATTTTAGTTCTTTTCCCTTTCCTTGATTTTGTTCTTGTACTCATTTCTTTACCATTAAGAGTCACCTTACACATATGAACTTAAAATCATATTTTATTGTTATATGAACTTAAAGTCATATTTTCTTGTCTTCATGTATCAGTACCCGAATGCCTTATGTGTCGATTTTAATTATCCCTTCCCGTCATTCCATTTTTTCTCTTAATTATGTTGCTCTTCGTTTTCATTTGGATTGTGCTATTTTCTTCCAGATTGCAGAGACTATAGTACTCTCATTGAGTAGGATGAGATTAAGAATCTTGCAGCTGCTTGATTCAGAAAGTCAGGAATAGAGAAGTGTCGTCAGCACGTTTGGTAAGTGTTTATAAATGGTGGTAATGGGAATAAAATGATGTATGAATTTTTAAGAAAAATCAATGTTTATTCCCTTGGTGAGGCTAGTTCACCCCAAATGATCTCTTTTTTCCTCACAGATTTTCAAAATTATTATCATTTGGGGGGTGGGGGGTGATAACTGATAATTGTGATGAAAAACACAAATTAGGGGTGCATCACTAATGGACACAAGGATGTTACTTGTGAAATTATTTTTAAATTTATTCCCATTACCGTTATTTATTACCGACTACTAAACGGGTTGTGAGGGCATTGTTTGGTCTACTTCTCTATTATGGGAATCAAGGGCGGTTGTTGTTGCATTAAACTTGGTCAGACTGGTACATGGAACGAAATAAGCCCAAGGATACTAATGAATTGCCGAGGCAATTAATGATTTGTTTGTTAGCTTACCTTGATTCGATGAGCATATATAATCGAATTTGCTCTAGATCTATATATATTTGGATCAGTGGTGTTAGCTACTCTAGAATTTCTGGACGTATAAGTAGGCAATTGTGTTCATATGGGACAAGATTTGAGTGTATTTGTTGTATCCTTGTGGGTAAAGTATTTGACTAGTTTTAGGTGATTATTTGAAGATGCATGCGAATAGAGTAAATGAGTAATAACGGCAATTACTATGTAAAATTCTATCCATTTATACGAATTAAGTGGTACAAGAATCTAATGGAAGCTCTTTTAAAAAATTCTTCCTTTTTATAGAGGCTTTAGTAGCTATTTGACAAAACTGGTATTAGCTGGTTTGTAATTGGTTATAAATCTTGTAAATAATTGGTTGTATAATTGTGTGATATATAAGTATTAATTGATGTTTTAGTGTATGAAATAATAGAAAAACTAAATGCTTAATAAACTAATTTAAAAAGGCTTCTATTACGAGCTTTTTCTAAATAATTTATGAGCTTAAAAAGTTTTTTTAATAAGCTATTTATCAAATACTTATATTAGCATTTATAATGCTCAAACCTCTTATATGTCTTTATATGTTAAAAGCTCTTTATCAAACAAGGCGTGTGTATAGAGACTAGAGAGCAATTATTTATTTATGCACCGGGAACAAGTTTTATGTATAAAAGGCATTGTAAACCATGTAATTTTCATACTCCCTCCTTTTTCTTCCATTTTTTTTTTAAAGTGTTACAGTTTGATCGGATATAGTTTTAGGATGTTCAATTGACATAAATAAAGTAAGTGGGATAGTTAGGTTGTTTAAAAATGGTAAAGAAAGATAATGGGATTAATAATTTATTGAAAAGTAATGGATGCAAGACAAAAGAAATATATATATAAAAAAAAGTAGTAGTACTGGGTTTGGTTGGAAACAATGAGAGAAAAGAAATCCTATTAAAATGTAGCTATTTGCCAAAAATAATGAAGTGTAACACTTAAAATAAAAAATACGGCGCATTTGATAAGTGTAATATATAAAATATTATGGAGGGAGTATTTTATAATTTCTGTGAAATACAAAATACTCCAAATGGAAAAAAAAAAAAATTAAGAGCCGAATGGATTATGATTTTTCGATGCAAAAACGATCTAAAAACTTGATATTTTAACCTGAAATAATGGATTTAGGCATAACTTTTTGGCTAGGGATGTTGATGGGGCGGATGGGATGGATGTTGCTCTTCCCATTCCCGCTTCGGTGGGTACTGATTAGGGGATTTTGCTCCCACCAATCGGAATGCGCCACGTGGACCAATCAGGTCCTGCCAAGTGTCCCCTAGTTGGAACTGTCAGGGCTTGCCACGTGGCACGCGCTTATTCGTCCACCTTGGACCTGTTATGTCACGACATGTGGCATATTCCATGCCTAATGGAGAAACCGGCCACCCAGGCCCAACTTCCGAGGGAAGCCCAATCGACCCTAGGTTAACCTAAACCTAGGATGGGCACGTTTTCCAAGGTTATAAATACCTCCCTTAATCCTCATTAAGGGGGAGGACAAGAAGATTACAGAAACATTACGGGAAAAACACATTAATTACACACAGTAATAACCGGCTGATCTCGCTAACAAAGCAGATTACCTACGTTAATCTCTCTCACCTAGAGAGACCTTATTACTTTAATTTCCGTATTAATTACTCCTTAATCAGTTACTAACTTGACCGTTGGAGGCGGAGCTCACAGGAGTCTCCGTTATTTTGCAGGTACAGGCGTCCGGTTCCAGTCTCGGAATTGTAACTCTCCCGCAGGACATCAGAAAACCCCGAAACATTTGGCGCCGTCTGTGGGGAGAGTACTTCAGAGATGGCATCCAAGTCTGTACCGACTCCTGAAGAGAGGCGTCCCCTAGACGACCCTCAAGTTCAGTCGGACCATGATACCGAAAGTGAATTTGAAGTTGAAGCTCATACAGCTTCAGACGGGACCCTAAGGGCCCGACGTACCCGTCATACCGAAAGGAGGGAACGGGAGCATCTTCAAACAGGAAGCGAGCCAGCAGGCGCACCGCCTGTTCGGCAACAGCCGACTGATGGGTCTGCTCCCATCACAAGGAACGAACTCATGACCTTCATGAGGGACTTCAAGGGAGAGATTCAAGAGTTGATCAACAAGAAGTCGACTGCTCCAGTCAAGGAGCAGTCGGCCAAGAAACCCTCCACTTCACTGAAGAGGAAGCCAGTTCAAGGGCGAGAGGCGACTCCTCATCCTAAATCTAGGAAGCGGGAGCCACCTGCCCTTGATTTCACAAAATTCCGTTATCCTACAGGAAATAGGAAACCTGTTCGTCATATTCAGGCGGACGGGTCGAAGCAAACATTCACAGATGCTCGGCTACTGCTAGAGCAGAAGAAGAGTGACCGATTGTCAGAGTCGGCCTCTACTTCAAACTTTCAAGACAGTTTGCGAAATGCCTCGATGAGGCATACTCAGTCGTACCATGAGAGTCAGTCAGGCGGCACCTCCCGTCAGTCCGGCTTTCATAGTGCCCAGGCGGTACCAAACTTACCATTTGTGCCGCAACAACAGTATTTTTTGCAGCCACCTCCATTTGGTGGACCTGCAGCAAAAAACGTCCAACCTATGGACTGGCAGCTACGGTTGCTTAGACTTGGTGAACAGCCGTCGGCCTTCTCCAAGGAAATTACTGAAGCCGCTCAGCCGGCCAAAGTGAAAAATGTACTAGTAGGCGCCTATGACGGCACTACTAACCCAGAAGACCATCTGATGGCATTCACCAACCTGATGTACCTTCAAGGGTTGGATGATCCCACTTGGTGCAAGTGTTTTCCAGCGACTCTCAAAGGAATCGCACAGCAATGGTTCGGCAACCTGCCGACTGGTTGTGTAAATAGCTTCAGGACGCTTGCTTACTTATTTGCCTCCAAATTCGCTATGAACATCCCTGCGAAGAAAACGACCCTTGATTTGGGAACAATTCAGCAGGGCGAGAAGGAGGGGCTTCGTTCTTACATCAGGCGGTTTAACCTGATGAGAATACAGATTCAAGGGTTACCGGATGAGGTAGCTTATACTGACTTTTTCAGAGGTCTCAAAGACGGGTCTACCTTCAAATTTGATTTGGTTCGAAAAAGGGTGGCGACTCTTCAAGAGGCCTTGATTGAAGCAGAAGCCTATATACAGGCGACTGATCTTTGTACGATAAAACAGTCGGACGGGAAAAGGTTCGACAAAAGAGAAGGACGACAGAAGCAGTCGTCTAACAAAGATGAGAAAAGAAAAGAGGTCTGGGCGGCTGATTCCTCTAAACAGCCGGCCCAGAAAAAGAAAAAAGAATTCAAAACATACTCCCCAAAGTATGCGTTTAACAAGGATAACCAGTTTATCCTAAAAGAAATCAAGGGACGGATCTCAATTGAGAAGCCGGTCCCTATGAAGGGTTCTGCAAACAACCGGAACCAAGATAAAATATGTGCTTATCATGATGACGTTGGTCATCACACCAATGACTGCATCAGTCTTATGCGGTACCTAGACCGCCTGGCTGAGCAAGGTGATCTTGACACTTATGTCAAGAAATCTACGGGGAACACTTCCTCAAAAAAGCAGTCGGCCAAAAAGAATCAACAGGCCGACAGCTCCGATACAGATGATGCAGTCGTCTACACCATTGCAGGCGGCTTCTCAGGAGGCGGCCCCACTATTAGGGGCAACAAAGATAATATAAGGCGGTTAGATGTAAATTCCGTTCACCAAGAACGGCCGTCCAAATATACATTTCCTGAGATTATCATCACTGAAGAAGATCTAGGAGGGGTAAGGGGGCCGCATGACGACCCTCTCGTTATTGAATGTAAATTGGCCAACCAGAGAGTTGGCCGAATCCTCATAGATACCGGAAGCTCCTCAGATCTCATCAGTAGCAAATGTCTGTCGAAACTGAAATATCAGACTGATTGCATACATCCGGCCTCCCACCCTTTAGTAGGGTTTGGAGGAGGAGTCGTCCACCCACTGGGACGAGTAGATTTACCCATCCGCCTGGGCGAAAAAGGGGAAGGACGACACATGGTAGTCCGGTTCCTAGTAGTAGAGGAACTCTCGGCCTACAACATGATTCTGGGTCGACCAACCCTGAATAATTCCAAGGCTGTTATAATCCCGTCTCTTATGTTGCTCAAGTTTGAGAGGGATAATGGAACAGTCGGCTCCCTAAGGGGAGATCAGAGGATGGCCCGAGAGTGCTATCTCTCGGATGTCAAGCCCACTGTTATGGCCACTGGGTCAAGTGGTGAAAAAACAGACCTTGACAATGTCAAGGAGAGTGCGCCTGTTCAAGAAGCAGGCGGCAAAAAGAGAAAGGCGTCCCAGACAGAGGCCGCAAGAAAAGCAAGAAAATAGCAATCATTGGCAGAGGAGCGGCCGGATGAGTTCCGCCCTCAGCCGGCTGGTGAGCATGTGGACCTGATCTTAGACGACTCACGTCCTGACCGAACAGTCAAAGTTGGGACGACTGCTCTGAGAAACCTTGGTGACGACTTTCACAACCTATTGAAAGAATACAAGGACATCTTTGCATTCGAAGTCCATGAAATGCCAGGCATTAGTCCTGATCTGGCGGTACATAAACTCGCCGTGGATCCGAAAAAGAAACCGGTACGGCAAAAGAAGCGGAACCATGGCGAAGAAAGAAGTCAGGCGGCAGCCGCCGAAGTTAAAAAATTACTTGATGCAGGGTTCATTCGGCAATGTTACTTCCCAGACTGGGTTGCAAATGTGGTGCTTGTTAAAAAGTCGAATGGCACCTGGCGAATGTGTGTAGACTACACAGACTTAAACAAGGCGTGCCCCAAAGACAGTTACCCTCTGCCTAAAATTGATAACCTGGTCGACTCAACAGCCGGCCATGCCTTGATGAGTTTTATGGACGCCTATTCTGGTTTCCATCAAATTCCTTTATGGAAGAAAGATCAGGAGAAGACGGCCTTCGTCACTGATCAGCGGTTATACTGTTACACGGTCATGCCGTTTGGTCTTAAGAATGCCCCGGCTACCTTCCAGCGAATGATAAACACTGTGTTCTTTGATCAGATTGGGAGAAACGTCGAGGCATACATTGATGATATGATTGTCAAGACTAAACTTCAGAAAGATCATCTGTCGGACCTCCGAGAAACATTCGCCACACTCAGGCGGCACCATGTCATGCTCAATCCCAATAAATGTGTATTTGGAGTTGAGTCTGGGAAATTTCTCGGATTCCTTATCAATCAGAGAGGAATAGAGGCGAACCCTAAGAAGGTGCAGGCGGTCATTGACATGCAGTCGCCTCGTACCATCCGAGAGGT